CCCCTCTCTACTTGCTCACTTCCTACCTTCCAGCTAAGTTAAGTTTTAAGGGGGGAAAATATACTAGGAAACAGATTAATGACAGGATGAGGTTTTCAAGTAGTCACTTTTTATTGAGTTTATTATTCTACTATGAAATATAGGGAGAAAATGAACAAAACTTTTCTTATTTGAGTCCACTCAGTGATGTGCTGGAGTCAGTTGGACATCAACTCTTAGGAGCTGATTCTCCTCATCTTTTTCCAGCCTTTGATCAGTCAGTCAAAGATGGGACCTTAAACTCTGCCATAGTGAATGTATTAGTTTTCTATTGCTGCTGTAACAAATTACCACGAATTTAGTGGCTTAAAACAAAACAGATTCATTATCTTACAGTTATACAGGTTGGAAGTGTGTCATAGGTCTCATTGGGCTGAACTCCTTTCTGGAAGCTCTAAGAGAATCCATTTCTATAGATTCTCCAGCTTCCAGAGGCCTCCCACGTTCTTTAGCCCATGGCCCCCTCTCTCCATCTTTAAAGCCAACATTATATTTCTTTGACCATTCTTTTATAGTCACACCTCCCTCTGACTTTCTTCTTTAGCCTCCCTCTCACTTTTAAGGACTCCTCTGATCGCTCTGGGCTCTGAATAATCCAGGAAAATGTCCCCTTTTTAAGGTCAGTTGGTTAGCAACATTTATTTCATGTGAAACCTTACTTCTCCTTTGCCATATAACCTAATATATTCTCATGCTCCAGGAATTAGGAAGTGGATTAGTTTAGAGGAAGGAATTAATCTGCCAATCACAGAAACTGGCAAAGCTACAAGTCAGGACTTTCCCCTGGAGAGCCAGTTGTTAAACATTTACCTGCACATCACTGCAACTAGTGATCATAAGGGAACATCAAACAAAACCCTTATAAGAATTATAGGATTAAGGCAATTTAACAGGATTCTTCTAACAAAGTTGCTTTGTAACTTAAGATGTTTAAATATACTATATAACAAGGAAGGATAAATTACTCTTTGACCAGTCAAAAACAAATTAAGATTACAAAGTATCTTCATTTCGGATGGATTAATATGGAGTCTGAAAATTCTGTGTAGCATTAACTCTTTTCTTAGAAAAGACTGGATGAGAAACATACAGAACAGGTTATTATAGAATACATAAACTGGTGCCTGTAAGGATTAAAAAACAGTATCAGGGAAAGAGACCTGAGAAAAATTCTTCCAGATGCTATTTATCATTCAAACAGCATCAAAAAAAAAATCTTTCAATATCAGGCATGGATTAACTCAGTATCATTTTCAACCAAGGAGAGATGACCTACATATCAAAATTTTAATTCACTGAGTCTTAATGTAAACCAGAGACAGTGGAACATTATTATGACATGCTATGTGGGCAGGGATTTTTTTAGCAAACCTAGGGAGAAACATAAATCACACTTCTTAGCCTTACAGCTCTGGTGTAAAAGGGGGTCACCTTGTCTACATGTTGAAATCAATGATATCTGCAATAAAGGATTATTTGTTCAGACTGTTGCTAGTTAGGTGAGCTTTTACTGAAGTCCTTTTCTTTCCTTAAGTTTTATATAACATGACTTTCAGAAGTTTCCCATTAAAGTTTCTGATGGAAGAAAAGAAATGAATTCCAGGGTTTATAATTATAATAGCTAATATTTAAATAATGCTTATTCTGCCAAAATAAACTTATATTTTAGTGAAGGAATTTATAACAAAATAAGCTAATTACATATTAAATGGTAATAAGTACCGAGGTAAAAGAAAGGAAAGGAGATAAAAAGTGAGGAGAATGAAATAAGGTATGAAATTTTGGACAGGGAAAGCCTCATTGAAAAAGTGGCACTGGAGCAAAGATCAGAAAAAACAGAGAGCAAGCCATGCCAATATTCAGGGAAGAGAATCCCAAGCCAGGAAAGGGAATATGCAAAGCCCTGAGGCAGGGATATATTTCTGTTTGTGGAGGATCTAGGAAATCCACTTGGTGGTATGGGAGCAAAATGAAGAACAGTAAAAAGGGTCAGAAAGTTTGGTTGGTTTTTTGTTTTTTTAAATATGTAGCTTTAATCGAGTAAAATAGGGAAATGTTAGTGAGTTTTGAGCAAACGAATGTCATTATAAATTTAATATTAAAAATCACTTTGGCTGCTGTATTGAGAACAGATTGTAGGTACAGAGACCAGCTGAGAGGTTATTTTAATAATCCAGGTTAGAGGATGATGGTTTAGGACCAAGGTGACAGTGGGTCAATTGTGTATTGAAAAGTTAAATTCTGGGTATTATTTTGAAGGTAGAGTAAACATGATAGGTATATTGGATGTGAAGTGTTAAAGACTTAAAAGACTAATGATGACTGTGAGGATTTTGGCCTGAACTACTACCACAAGGACGTTCTATAAACTGACATGACTGAAGACAGTGGGACTGAGGATTATGGATGTGGGAATTGAGATGTTCACAAGTTCAAACTGGATGTATCAAATTTAAGATGCCTATTAGACATCCATATCGAGAGGTCAAGTGAACAGAGATACATACACACACACATTAAAAGTCCTCATCTGAAAAATTACCATGGACATTCAAAGCACGGTATTTGAAAATATGAGACTGGATGAAGAGTACAGTGAAAAGGTCCAAAGTTTTTTTCCTTTGGGGCACTCCAACATTAAAACCTCATATAAATGAAGATGTACCACCGAAAGACTGAGAGAAAAGCCAATGATGTAAAAGGAAAAAAAAGATAATATGTAGTTTTAGAGACTGAGGGAAGAAAACGTTTCAAGGAGGAACTGGCTCAACTGTTACTATTAGGCCAGAGTAAGTACTGATAATTACTTTTTGAATTTAGAAATGTGAAGGTCATCAATGACCTAAACAGAAATATTTTCAGTGGCGTGTTATGGGTAAAACCTGATAAGGGTGAGTTAATAAACTTGAAAAAAGCAAAATTTAATATAGTTTTACTTTGGCTCTTCATTCAAGTACCTAGTGGGAAGTTTGTGTCAATTCTGAAAAACTGCACTTTTTCAAGTACACATAAATGCTACAAGACAACATCCGCATTTAAATGCAGCTTTGCCTGGTGATCTCATTAGGATGAGGAATTGACAAAATAGTCTGTTGTAGCCTTCAATAAGCAGCACAGTAAAAGCATAATTCTAAACAAATTCATTTAAGGAAAAAAAAAAAGAAAAGAGCGTGTTATCTTTCCGGGCAGCACTGACATCTGATGCAGTCCTAAGTGACAATCTACTTCCATTGCCATTGTAGCTTCTTCAACAGCAGTAACAGGATGTAGTTTCTTCAAGTCATACTGTATCTCATGCCAAAATTTACATTCATTTTTATGTGGGAATACTGAGCACTAAAAGAATACTATTTAAAGAATCTTTAAAGAGCCACACAACTGTCTTCAATACTAGAAAATGCTCCTTCTAATTTCTTAATGCAGCATTTACTTGGAACTACTTTTTTTTTTAAGTATTTCAATTACTTAAGCTATTTGTAACTAAGGCCCTGTATTGGTTTACACAGTTTTAAACTTTGAGGTGATTTGTACCAAAGCTTCTAGAGTGGTTCCCAACATGGGTGGGAATGGGGCAGTTTTTGCCCCCTAGGAAATATCTGGCAATGTCTGGATGCATTTTGGTTTTCACAACCTGGGGAGGGGAGCAGAGCTACTGGCATATAGCGGCACTATGCTGCTAAATAAGCTAAAATGCACAGGACAGGCCACTACAATAAACTATCTGACTCAGCAAGTCAATAATGACAAGGCTAAGAAATCCTGCTCTAAAGACTGAAATTATTCAAGAGACACAGGAAATTAAAGAATGAACAGTCAAGTAAGTGAAATGTACTCTGCACTCGTTTCATGACTACTTGGATTCAAATACAGCTGGCCCTCCATATTCACAGGTTCTGCATTCTACGACAAAGTCTGACTGCACTATGCTGTTTTATATAAGGAACTTGAGCATCTGCAGATTTTGGTATCTGTGAGGGGTCCTAGAACAAATCCCCTCCAGATACTGATGGGCAACTACATCCACATTTGACTTACAGAATGAACTTGAACAATTTAATCCAAGTCTTAGTTTCCTTACTGTCTAAAAAAATTTTTTTTAGTATTTCAGATAATCCACATAATTCAAACATTTAGTTCAGTTCCTGACATGTAAATATGTGCTAAACAACAAAATATTTATATTATACACCTATATATTAAAATCCAAAACTGCCTAACTAAATTCCTCAAAAGTTTCTCTGATGGCATGATTTACATATACCTATGTGAAAACCTAACAGATGGTTAATTCTTAATTAGTCACCACTGAACCACTGAAATGTTCTACTCAATGGCTCATTTGAGACCCAGCTAAAAGGTCAGAGCCACATAATGGGTCACATCAATACACAAACATTTTCTCCAACCAAATTCTCATTCCATAGCCCATTTCTAAAAAGATAACTCTCTCATCTCTAAATTGCTAATAACATAATTCCTAGCCTTTGAAAACCTGCCATGACTCAGCAGTAGTTCTCAAGATCTCTTCTTGCCCACTAGCTTCATGGTTAGTAGTGACACACTCAGATCCAGCTACAATTCCCAACCAGGCAGTGACTGACAACCTTGAAAATCTTCAGCAAAGAAAATGTCATGGTAAAATCCATCATCAGCAATACTGCACATACTTCAACATCCTCCAGTAACAGAAATTCAGGTTTCTATTCTGCCTATGCCAAAGAGGCCTGAATATTCTTCCCAATCTAACTTTGAATGAGTTCTAGTTCCAGTTGTTAAATATCTAGTTATCAATGGCCTATACACAAAATCAAAGTGTCTTATTAAAGCAGCTTAAAGTGCTATTTTCAAAATTACACAAACTACAGAAACGCAAGAAATTCCTCAAATTCTAATAGCTTATTTCCTATACCATAAGTTATAAAGTTCAGAGTAGATTTTCAGCATTAAATAGTGACACATTATCAAGTTTCACATATTTATTAATCAGTGTAAACCCCAACACATCAACATGATTGCATGCATTTAGAGGGGAAATATCTCCTGGTTAAGTGGAAAATTGTGCGGATGGCTTCTGGAAGACCTTCATTTCTAAGCAGCTTTAGAGTGAAACATTTCATTTAGAAGTCTGGACCTTCTTTCTTCAGTTTGCTGTAATCTACGTTCACTGAGTAGAACTTGGAAAAGAAGAAAGATATTTTAGATAATCAAATACACAAAGATGGTACAGAAGTTTTAGAATTATTTTTATTCAGTTTTCTATAGTAACAATTACAGCCATGAATTTTTTTTAGGAATATTTTACAATACAAAAGTCATTCAAACAAAGACAGTAAAATTCCAGTCCTTTAATAATGGTTTTGTAAAAATATTCAATCTACCTCTGAAGAGCAGTATTATTATAATCTGTTAGTCAGAACCTATAAAAAAGTTCTTCTATTTCAAGGT